TGATTATCTTGTAGATTGGTTTGGCTTTGATAGATGACTTTTGCAAATGGATCGTGCAGTTAGATCTAATCTTTCGAAACAACAGTGGCGCGTCGTTCCAGATGGGTTGGCGTCACGCAAGTGGAGCGACAGAGGCGCGCAGTCCCTCGTGATGATTATCTTGTAGATTCGTTTGGCTTTGATAGACGACTTTTGCAAATGGATCGTGCAGTCAGATCTAATCTTCCGAAACAACAGTGGTGACGTCTAGGGCGAAGCTACGTTAGGACTAAACCTGGGCAAACGTCGGGTCGGACCAGGTTTCGGGCCGGGCTTGTAAAAGCCCGACCTTCATTTCTCAAGCCCGGGCCCGGTCCGAAGCCCGAAATACTCCATGATTTCAAGCCCGAGCCCAGCCCGAAATCAAGCCTGAAGCCCGAAAGCCCGACCCGAACGCTGTTTTTTAGTACGTGTACATGCAAGCCCGGCCCGAAGCCCGAAAGCCCGGCTCGAGAAATAGAAAAAGAGAAGCCCGAGCCCGACCCGAACTACCTTTCGGGCTGCAAAACAAAGCCCGAGCCCGGCTCGAGTGTCAAGCCCAGCCCAGCCCGGCCCGGGTTTTTCGGGCCGGGCTGCCCATGCCCGGGTTTAGTTAGGACCAGCCCATGCTATGGCCCACCCAGCTAGCTCATGAGAAATTCTATATAGTACATCTACTCTTGGGCCTTGAAAGACCAACCCACAAGATATTCCCTTATGTTGTGCTCGTCCAGACCGCCCAACATGGTCTCAAGCTCCGCCACTGGGCGTCATCATCATTTGATGTAGATCGTCGACGGGAGTACCAATGGTGGTAAGTGTGAAACATATTTGGATATTCCAAAGCATATTTAGGTCATAAAATGTAGTTGAAGTAAAAGTATATGAAATCAATACGATGTGGCAACAATTTTACGTGACATGAGATAATGTATCATGGATGTGTAGTCGGTGGAATGACGGTAACCGAGTCACGGTGGGAGAATACCTTCAAACAGTCACGCTATAGTTTCTCCAAAAATATATTGATGTGGTGGTGTTTAGTTACAAAGGTCGAAGATGATAAAAAAAGGAATGTAACTATACCTGTAAAGAATTATAGTAGCTCATGGAAAAAACTAGCTGGAGCTAATTTCAAATATGGTTGAACTTAGTGGGCTTCTTTGTTTTGCCAACTATATTTAAGTTGAGGATAAATCATGTTAGATTACTATTGTCACATAAAATGAGGTGTACACATAAATTCAAGTCATGCCATGTTCGGGCATAAGGTTTCAAAACTCTTTTTTGTGTCATCTTTTTTGCCTCTTTTTTTTGTGTCATCAGGATATAGGATAGGTATGCATGATGCATTGAGACGAACAAAACAACCAAGCGAAGAATTACAACAACCAAATTAGGAAGAACTGTGCAAAGCATAACATTTAAGAGAGGCAAAAATGTTTGCCATGTTAAAAGAAACAATAAGGTTGTAATTTGAGCATGCCATGAGTGTTCATAACTGAACTCAAAATATAAGAATACAATATGAGTTCCATTTTCAAAATAAGACAACATGAGTGTTAGGTTGCATGAAAAATGGAATACTCCCTTCATATCACAAACAAGGACACCTTTGGTATAAATGAACTTCATAGGACTTATGTAGGATTTTATTCCTCGTAAAGAAAACATACAAGTTTTTTCTATACCTATTTTGTATGTCATTCATTTCCATAGTAAGTTTTCCCTTGAATTCAACCTTAGGATTCACTTTTATTGAAACAGCAACCATGATATACACATAAATCCTTCGAGAAAAATCTCATGTTTGTTTTCTATTGCGCAACCAGCAGCAGCGGAACGGCAATGCCAAAGAAGAACACAAGTTTTGCTTTTAAGGCCCAGTTTTACTTCACTCTTCAATGTTTTGTAGCTAGGCTGGGCGAGCCACGACCCGGGTTTTTTCTCAACCAAGCCCCCCCCCCTGTCGGTGTCAAAACCGGCAGATCTCGGGTAGGGGGGCCCAAGCTGCGCATCTAAGGATCATGGTAACAGGGGGCCAGGGGACACAGTGTTTACCCAGGTTTGGGCCCTCTTAAGGGAGGTAAAACCCTACCCCTGCTTGATTATATTCGACGAGTATGAAGATTACAAGAGTTGATCTAATCGTAATGGCTAACCCTATATGTCTAGCCTATGAGGATTTCGATGACCATGAATAATGTAACCTTTATGGACTCACCCCTCCAGTTTATATACACAATGGAGGGGTCTAGGGTTTGTAGAAGGTTGGTTCATCAGGGAAGGAAGCCTCCGGACTATCGTCCACGTATTGAGAAGTCCCATCCGGACACGATGGATAATCTTCAGCTCGATCTTGTGCGGCCCATCCAACCCGGCCCATGTTCCTAGGCCGGACACCCGAGGACCCCCGAATCCAGGACTCCCTTAGTAACCCCCGAACTTGCCTTTAATGACGATGTAGTGTGCGGATAGAGCAGGTCCAGGCTGCTTCCACCGTCCATATGGACTCGTGTAAGGTGGAATCCATCGATGATAGGGTCGAGCACTAGTGCAGCTGAACCGCCATGACGGATGCTGGTCGGATGGTCCCTTTGATCAAAAGTGATCGAACGGGAGGACCATGGGTTGTATTTTGGGGCGACTGGCTCCCTTGCGTAGATGTCCCTTAGCGCGCACTTCCGCTCCCTTCTGGGGAAATGGGTAGCATATATCATGTTCACCTTTTGACTTGGGGAGGAAACTTCTTCTGTCCCCCTGTGTTCGGTGGTCGGGGCTCCTAGTCGTCATCGCTTTGCGACCCCTTTTCCTTGTTTTCGGCATTTAACTTCCCGGACTGTTTAAAGACCCAACATTCTGTGTTGGTATGATTGGCTAGTTTATCGGGGGTGCCTTGGATTTCACATGGACGATCGAGTATGCGGTCCAAACTGGACGGGCCCGGATTGTTTTTCTTAAATGGCTTCTTCCGCTGACCGGACTTGGAGCCACTGAATCCGGCATTGACGGTCGTGTCTTCGACATTGTCGCCATTGTTTCGACGCTTGTGTCTGTTGCGTCAGGGCTTGCCATTGCTATCCCTAGCTTCAGAAGTGCCAGGTTTACTTGAGGTGATGTTGCTACGAGCTAGCCAGCTATCCTCGCCTGTGCAAAAGCGGGTCATAAGCGTCATAAGGGCTGCCATGGACTTCGGCTTCTCTTGTCCGAGGTGTCGGGCGAGCCATTCATCATGGATGTTATGCTTAAAGGCCGCTAAGGCTTCGGCATCTGGACAATCGACGATCTGGTTCTTTTTAGTTAAGAATTGAGTCCAGGATTTCCTGGCTGACTCTCCGGGCTGTTGGATTATATGACTTAAGTCATCGGCGTCCGGAGGCCGGACATAGGTGCCTTGGAAGTTGTCAAGAAATGCGTCTTACAGGTTCTCCCAACTGCCAATGGAGTTTTCAGGCAGACTATTCAACCAGGGCCGAGCTGGTCCTTTGAGTTTTTGCGGGAGATATTTGATGGCATGGAGATCATCACCGCGGGCCATATGTATATGGAGAAGGAAGTCCTCGTCATCAAAGTGAGGTAGCAATTTGCGCTTCGGGTAACTTTTGGTTGGGCGTTCGAGTCCATATTCCTCGGCTGCCAGGACCTCAGTCCATCTATCAGTGAGG